AACCTATAAATATATGCACATAGATCTATTTCCCCATCCTCATATAAATACATTTGCATATGTACATGTCTTTATCTAGACCTCTATAAATGCCCTTTGCCTCCCAGCTCTTTCCTCTATTTCCCTTGATTTTCCTCCTGTCCCACGATCATGCTCAGTCCCCGGGAAACCATTTTTCTTGGTTCTCTGTCTGATCGTGATCTCATGCAGTATTTGTCTCTAGGAGATGGGCTGCCTTTGCTGAGCAGAGTCATGTTTGCCATGTTGGACAGGTCCAGCCTCGTGTTTTAGCATTGCAGAATTCCCATTGCATGCTGCGTACCCGCGCGCGTTCGCCTGCCCCTCGCAGAGGAGCATCTCGGTGGTTTCCATCTTTTTGCTTTTGTGCATTGCCCTGCAGTCAACGTGTGTGTGTGTGTGTGTGTGTGTGTGTGTGTGTGTGTGTGTATCTGTTTCTGTTTTGTTCCCCTTCTGTGGAGTAGGTATCAAATAAGAGAGACGGCTAGGCCATTTGGTGTTTCGGTCCGCGCTTGCTCTTACACCGGCTGTCCACTTGGGCCATCTCACCGGCCGGCACGAGGGCCTCCGTCTGTCCGCATCCGCTTCAGCTTCGTTGTCTGCTGTTGATGAAAAGTTCGCGATCAGTGCCAATGAGAGGTGGTCTCCCCTCCGTATTTGAATGCCTCTTATCCCTAACGACGGCAAGCATTTCTTCATAAGATGGTTGGCTGCCTGGCTGCCATCTCTGGTGACTTCTCTGTTCATGTTTTCTGCCTGGGTTTTTATTCGATGTTATTGTTTTTTGTGACGAATTTAAATATCACTGGATAACAGTGTTAAGTATGATTGATAAAAAGCAAATGAGCGCTGGGAGGGTAGAGGGAGAGAGGGTTGGAAAGAGGGAACCGATTACAAGGAACTATATGTGACCTCCTCCCTGGGGGGACAGACAACTGAAAAGTGGGTGAAGACGTTGGACAGGGCAAGATATGACAAAATAACAATTTATAAATTATCAAGGGCTCATGAGGGAGGGGAAAATGAGGACCTAATGCCGGGGGCTTAAGTGGAGAGGAAATGTTTTGAGAATGATGAGGGCAATGAATGTAGAAATGTGCTTTACACAATGGATGTGTGTATGGATTGTGATAAGAGTTGTATGAGCCCCTAATAAAACGATTTTTTTAAAAAGCAAACTCCCCATCTGCCCGTTTTCCGAATCGGACCCTTTCTGTGCATCGAGGTTTGGGTTCCTCGAGGTGCAGTGTTCTGTCGATGCTAGAGATGCGCCTTTACCTGATGTGCACCTGCCAACATCGTCTTCCCGGCCCGTGGGTTCTTTCTACTCTTCGGTGAAGCGAGTGTGCTTATCTGTGTTCCACAGTGTTGGCGTGTTCCATTATGTCTGGAACGCGCTTACATCAGTGCTTGTATGAGGAGGACCCGGGCTCCCAGTGTTCCCGCTGACGATCCGTACAGTTCTGGCAAGTCATCCTGAGTTCATGCTAGCTCATGTTCCATTGTTCCATATCTCTGCTTGTGGACCAAGACTGCGTGTTTTGGTGTGAAAATAGGGCTGTGAGGTCATTCGCTCAACTTGATGTTTCTTTTCACGGTGGTTTTGGCTTCTGCGTTTCTTTCATATAGAAAACTTGGAGGTCCTTTGTAACCGTACACACTTTGAAACCCTGCTGCGATTGAGACTGGGACTGTGTTGAATCTGTAGATGCCTGTGGGACCCTCTTAGCATTGACCCTGCTAACTTACCGATGTGGTCTGTCTTTCTATTGACCTTGTCTTTAATTTCGCTCGGTGGTTTGTAATTTTCAGAGTAGAGGCCTTACGCTTCTTTTATTAAATCGATTCCAAGGTCTCTGACGTGTTTACGTTTCATTTCATTGTGTTGTGCTTTAAAGAACAGGTGGCTTCCCTCACAGTGCTGTGCAAACCCCGCCCCCCCCACTATCACTGTCCAGCCAGACTTCGAGGTGAGGGGCAGTGGAGCTGAGAGTTAAAATTTATCCCCAAAACGAGAAACTGGTTATAAGCAGGGGCAGTCACACGGCCAGCTTGCCTGCCACAAAGGCTAGGTGCCCACCTCCACTCCCCCATGCCTGGCAGTCTTGGCTGCGCTGCTCACATTGGGCTTTGGCCCTTTGGCCCGTGAGCATGTGGGGTGGCCGAGATGGCAGGTGGCAGTGTGGGCCACATTGGTGTGGTTTGGCAGAACAGGGGGAACAGAGGACCATGAACCTGGCAGACAGACTCCTTTTCTGGGCTCCAGTCCTGGCGTCCTAGAGAGATCCCACAGAGAGTTAGCTACTGGGTAGACAGGCTGTGGCCAGAGCGAGATTGGAGAGCACTTCAAAAGCCAGGCCCGTGTCACTAAGTGCTCTCTGCTTGTAGTTGAAACCAGGAAAGGCCTGTTCTTGTCTCTAAGGCTCCCCGAGTGAGCTCGCCAGGAGCGCTGGGCTCGTGAGTCAGCATGGTGTGGGTTGGCTCCTGAAAGCAAACCGTCTGCCCCCAGGCAGCAAGCCAGAACTTGGCTTTTGGATCACAGCTCCCAGACACATTATGTTTTTAATGTTCACCGGCTAACAACCCTGGTGGAAGCTGTGGTCATTTGGAGAGTCCGACTGCCCGGGAATGGGTGGTAGCTCCCTGCCCTGATTTTATCCTACCTAGGAGCAATGTGGATCATTAGCCCACAGGGTTTGAGGCTGACTTTGACCTGAAGGAGTCCCTCAGGCCCATCCCCCGCCCCCACCGCTGCCAGTGACCAGGCCAGCCTCCTGTGTCCAGTCACAGTCCATTGAGGCAGACACATCCTTAGAGAGCATCTAGTCGGCTTCCTCCTTTGGCCCAGGGAGGGCAGACACCTGCTCCAGGTCACCCCCATCTCCCAACCCAAGGCCCACCCTGACCACCCCCAGAGACATTGCAGGAAGGAGGTAGGCAGAGGGACACTATCTGTTTCCCTCCCAGGACAGAGTTGCTGGGCTGCTACAATGACCAGGACTTTCTGGCCAAGCTGCACTGTGTCCGACAGGCCTTCAAGGTGGGTGTGGCTGTATCTAGGGGGTTAACATGGGGTGGATGGAGCCGGGCGCGGGGTGGGGGGAGACCAGGCATGGCCATGTCTACATGGGGACTCCTGCGGACTGTCTGTGCCTGGCTCCTCTGTGCAATGAGGCCCCTGCCCACCTCTCCCCTGCCCTCTCACGGGAGTGGGGGGCCGCCCTGCCCAGTGGCCCCCTCCTCTCCTTCCATAGGGCCTTCTGGAAGACAACAGTAACCAGCTCTTCTTCGGGGAGGTTGGCCGGCAGATGGTGACGGGCCTGATGACCAAGGCTGAGAAGGTAGCAGGGGTGGGGGGGTCTCTGTTCACGTTTTCTTTTTTATTAATTTTTTTTATAAGATCATTTTATTGGGGGCTCTTCCAGTTCTTATAACAATCCATACATCCATTGTATCAAGTACATTTGCACATATATGTTGCCATCGTCATTTTCTAAACATTGACTTTCTATTTGAGCCCTTGGTATCAGGTTTCCCCCCCCCCACACACACACACACACTATGTTTTCTTTCCTTTGCCCTTTTTTTTAAGTTTTATTATAAAAAAATTAAAAAACAAAGCTTAAAAAAAACCAACTCAGTCTAAAAGACAGCAGCCCACCATGGTGGGTAAGAGGCGGGTTTTGCAGGACCCTGTCCTGCAGGAATAGAATGTGTGTCTTGAGGTAATATGAAATATTACGGTAGTCAATGGGAGCCCCCGAGTGCTGGCTCCTAGCCCCAAAGGAGGGGTGCTTCAACCCCTGCAGAGGCACCGGGGAGGGGAGTTCTGCTTTGGAAAGGTCACCACTTTGAAAGCCCTGGGAGGCAGTCCCACTCTGCACACGTGGGGTCCCTGTGAATCTGAAGGGGGCCCATGGCATCTAGCAACAGCAGAAAACAAACCAGAGACAGTCCACTCCACTCACCCCGGACCCACAGGACAGAGCAGCACCGCCCCTGTGGGCTTCCAAAGCTGGCATCCTGCCCGGAGCAGACTGCCCCCTCTTTCTCCTGTCGAGCAGCTGGTGAGTGGGTGGGACACGCAGGCAAGTAGGTAACCACTGAGCCACTGGCCACACATTCAGAACGTCAAAAGACAAACTTCACTGTTAATGCTGTCGAATACAGCTGCTCCGACATCTCCCCTAGATTATTGCATTTACAAATTAGAACCTTGGGAGGAAAATCACTCTGTGTCGATGCCCCAATGGGGTCATGGTTACAGCTTGGGCTGCTCTCCACAAGGTCAGCAGCTCGATAGCACTCTACTCCCCGGGAGAAAGACGGATCTTCTACTTCTGTCAGGAGTGACCGTCTCAGAATTTCCCGAGGCAATTCTGCCCGGCACTGTAGGCTCACCATGAGTTACTGTCCACTGGATGGCAGTGAGAGAAGCAAACAGACAAATTCATTGCCATCAAGTGGACGCCTAGCTCATTGTCAGCATAAACAGAAGTGAGCTTCCCCGAGGGCTGAGTGAGTGGCAGGCCCCCGTGTAACACACGACCAAGCCAGCCTTGTGGTCAGCAAGCCTTTCTGTAGATGATGCGTATACAGACACATGCATGCGCCCGTGGAGTCCTTGTCCTGTAGGATGGCTGGCGTGCGGGAGCGGCTCAGCTTCAGCCCATGTGGGAGGACAGTAGGTTACAGGGCTTGGGTGGTGTCATGGGTCCTGTGTTGGGCTGCTAACTGCAAGGTCAGTGGTACCAACCTACCAGTCACTCTGGGAGAAAGATGAGGTTTTCCACCCCCATAGAGAGTGACAGTGTCTGAAACCCACGTGCAGGGTCGCTGTGAGGCAGATGGACCCGATGGCCAGGAGTCCTTGGGGCCCCACGTGACTCTGAGCCGGCAGCACTGGGCGAGGGAGGGGTGGTCGGGAGGATGCATGGAAGAGTGCGCTGATGGTTCCAGCCTTAAGGGGCTCTGAGTCTTACGGGGCTCGGCCGAGCCTCAGTCCTCCTGTCAGGGCTCACTGAGGGTTGGGGAGGAAGCCAGACAGAAGAAGCCTGGGTTACCCGGAAAGACGTTGCCAAACGGGTCGCAAGTTTAAGTGGATATGACAAGGACACCATCCGGATTCAGGAGGGCGTGGGATAAGCATGCCAGCCAGGTCAGAGCAAGGGCGCTGTGCTGGAGTGTTGGCCAGGCCTGACCAGCAGGGCAAACCTCAATCTATGGTCCGGAGGCGTTTCCCAGATCCCGTAAGCCACAGGGGAGTTGGGAAAGGGTTGACATCTTCCCATCCCATGCTAATTCTATTTCTGATGGCTCTAAAACCCAATGCTACAAAAGCCACCAGTCATACACCAGAACATGGAAGACCACCCTGAACCGCACCAACCAGCAGTAACCTTACCCACAGATTGCTGTGTGCACCTCCTCCTCTGTTCCTTAGACAGTGCCCTCAAACCCAGGCATTCCCTTGGCAGATGCGGGCGATGCCCCGTGGACTGGGCTGCAGCTGTGTGGGCTCCGCACCACACACAGTTCTGTTAGCGATTGCATCGTATTTGCGTCACATGGCCCATCTGCCGTTGACCCAGGGCCCCTGTGGGTGACCACTGGCGTTGTTTGCAGGCACCACGGCTTTCTTGTCATTCCCATCCACGCCTCCTCTGCTGCCCGAGATGGAGGCCTTGGTGCAGGCATGAGAACCCATAGAAGGCCAGTTGGTCTGGCCAACTACTGCCCGCTCACCCCCTACCCCCACCCCCCAGGCCAGCCTGGCTTGCCTGTGTTCACGTTGGTCAATCGTGGAGAAGTGACCTGTTACTCTGTGTTATTGACCATTGCTCTGTGCCCTGGGGCATTGGCGAGGGCACACTAGTGTGGGTGAGGGCTGGCTACAGGCGCCCTTGGGTCCCAAGGGGTTGACGAAGCTCGGGAGCCTCCCACTTCGCCCCCCCTGCACCCGCTCTTTCCACACGTGGAGTCAAGGTTCTCAAATGTGGGTGCCTAATGTCCTACAGACCCCTTTTCAGAAGAGGACAGGAGTACTCAGTGCCCCTCTGACAATTACACACGTTCACAAAGTATTTGCAAAAGGCCCTCCCGGCGCCCCGGAGGGAGGAGCGTCACTCGCTTTGGGAAACTCAGGCGACCTCGTCATCCATCTGCTGATAACGCTCACGTGGCACCCTGCCCTGGGCGCACAGACCAGCTTTGAGCCCTTGGCCTGGTCCAGGCCAAAGGGCGCCCCGTTCCCTGCACACACCAGACTTGCTCTCCAGTCCGGCTCTGCACACGAGCCGGTCCCCCGCCCAGAACACTTCCCTTCATTGCTTAAAGACAGAATCGAAATTGATGGCTGACAAAATCATAATAATTTGTAAATTATCAAGGGTTCGTGAGGGCGGGGAGGGGTGTAAAGGGAGGGGAAAAAATGAGCTGATACCAAGGGCTCAAGTAGAAAGAAAATGTTTTGAGAATGAGGGCAGCAACTGTGCTTGACACAATGGATGTTTATATGGATTGTGATAAGAGTTGTATGAGCCCCCAATAAAATGATTTTTTTTAAAAACCCCAGGTTTGCTGAGCAAGTCTGGAATGCATCTCGAGCTTGGGTCCCAGCTCTAGATGGGCCTGCCCTGCCTTTTGCAGAGTGAAAACGACCCTGTGCGCCCCTGAAAGACCATGAAAGCCCTCGGTACTGTGTAGCCTGTAATTCAGGGTAAAGTGGAGGTACCTGCTTCTGCAGGCCCTCCCCCACCCCATCATTCCAATGCACCCACTTTGGGAGACACTGCTTCAGCGGTGTCTAGCGACTGAGCAGCTGTACTCAGTGCACTGGGGCCCGGGGGAAGGAGGGAACACATGTCTATCCCCCTCTTCCTTGGTTGCCTGCCTCTGAGTCTGCCAGCATCTCTTCCCTGAGAAGTCTTCCTCTGAAAGCCATTCCCCTGCCCTCCGGTTCACCTACCACCCGGTCTCATCTGCATCTGCAAATTGTGTGTTCAGCCACAGCGAACCCTCAGGGCCACAGCCGGTAAAGAACACGTCCTCTGTGCTCTGGTCTCAGTCTCAGGCCCGCCAGCCTCGACCCCGCCCACTGGGGAGCAGGCTGGGCACTGGGCACTGGACGGTGTGGGGTGGGCACGAGCTCCTCAAGCACGGGCTGTGTGGGCTGCAGCTTCTCCCATCTTACCCACGAGGCCCGAGGCCACAGAGGTCTGAGCCTCTTCCCTCGGCTGCCTGGCTGGGGCCTCAGCCGCTTGCCCATCCCTTCAGCAAGTGGTGGTGGCCCTGCTGTGGCCGTCTCACAAAGTGGGCTAGCCCAGGGAGTTGTTGGTCATGCTGGGGCGACCCTCCTGTGCCTGCCGCCGCCAGGGACAGGCCCCGGCCCCGCCCCAGTGTGTCGTCCTTCCTTAGGCCAGCCTCACCCTTTTGGATCTAGCACATCGGTCTGGCAGTTTGTGCCACCTCCAGAGCACACCCCACTTCTCCCCGCAGAGCCCCAAAGGCTTCCTGGAGAGTTACGAGGAGATGCTGAACTATGCTCTGCGGCCCGAGACCTGGGCGACCACGCGGCTGGAGCTGGAGGGACGAGGGGTGAGCTGGCCTTGCGGAGCCTGGGCCTGGGCCTGCCAGAGCAGGGAAGGGTGTCTTGACCCCGTCCCAGCTGGAAGCCACTGTTTCTCCCCTGCCCCAGTCCCAAGCCGTCCCCACTGGGAAGCAGAGCGGGCATCCACACACCCCAGCCCTCCCTCTGGGGTCCCCGACGCACTGACCCCCGGGGGCTGGGGCATGGGACCCAGTGCCGCCGGCCTCTCCCAGGTGGTGTGCATGGGCTTCTTCGACATCGTGCTTGACTTCATCCTCATGGACGCCTTCGAGGACCTGGAGAGCCCCCCGTCCTCCGTGCTGGCCGTCCTGAGGAACCGCTGGTTATCCGACAGCTTCAAGGAGACGGTGCGGCCTGCCCCACCCCCGTACACATGCACCCCTCCAGGCCTGGCTTTGGCCTTCCCCATAGTCACTCCGTAAGCTCAGGCTCCTCTGCTCCCAGCTATGGGAGGCTGCCCCCCACACACACAGCCTGAGGGCGTCGCCGTTCCATTTGGATTCCACACTTGCTACCAAATCAAACAGACCAACCAGGCATGGGGCAGGTGACCCTCCTCGGGCCACTGTGTCCCAGCTGTGTGTGTGTCGGGGGAGGGGTGGGAGAGATCCCTTTCAGTTGGTGGCAGGCAGTTTAGGGGCACAAATCATTGATCCCTACAGCTACTGAGTGCTGTGGGGTGTCACGCCACACCATTTTCCAGAGGAGGGCACGGAGGGTCGGAGTTCCGTGGCTCATTCCAGGCCGTGCAGCTGCAGGGTGGGAACGGAGATTCAAACGTGGGTGCGTCTGATTCCAAATTGTAGTAAAGGGGACGCAGTGTCTGCCAGCCGTGAGCCTGTCTCTGTCTTCCTGGTACCAGGAATTAAGGCTTGGTCTGGGTTGGGCAGTGCTGGGGGTGGGCCTGATTCTCCTCCCCTCCCCCTGGCGGTGGAGGCCATCTTTTATGTAGGCCCTGGCCACTGCTTGCTGGTCAGTCCTGAAAGCCAAGAGGAGGCTGCTGATGGTGAGTGGCCCTGCCAGGGGCTGGGGAAGGCCTGCCATGCGGGCTCCGGGCGTGCCCAGAGCTCCCTTTGCTGGGCGCCCAGCCCTGCCACACTCCCTGGGCATGGGCAGGTCAGGGAGGGGGCCGTGTAGGGTAGGTGCAGGAATGCAGGGGCCCTGGCCCTGCTGCCACTGTTGGCCTTTGCCCCAGTCCTGGTCACCACACCCTCCCCCCTC